CATGGTGAGTTTTATCATCTTCAACGCTAGCGTTATCACCATTACCTGCATGCGGTGTATCGTTTACATAAAAAGTCGAGCCATCTGTAGAGACACAGAGGTGACAAGTTAGAATGTTATCCAATACCAAAGCTTGGCCTTTTGAAGTAATATTATTTTTAAAGTTAATATATTATTCAGTTTTCTCAAACAATAGTTAAGTCTCGTCCTGTTTTATTTGTCTTGCACCTTTTTTATTTTTTAAAAGGTCAATAATTTCACAATATAAAATGCATTTTTTAAATCGTGATAGTAATAAAACAATTAGTTATTATGTATTTTAGCATCATTATAAGAGAGTATTGGATAACTGACAGTAAATAAAGAAAAGCAAATGTGTAATTATAGAAGCCATTGTAAATCATCTAATATTTTGCAACATAATAATATAATGTTAAATAAATATATGCAACATAACGTGTGGTAAAATTATATCGAGTAACTGTTCTGCATCAAAAAAAGAAGTAATAAGCACAATGAAAGCAAAGAATATATACTATATAAAATAATTAATTTTTAATCATACTTATACACTTTACAAACAATAATGTATTATCATTAATCATTTTTTTGTAAAGAAGATAGAAGCTTAAAGCAGCTAAAAAAATAAGAATACTGTGCATGAAGCATATAATAAAGTGTAGTGTAACTCTCGCTCTTTGGACAACACATTACTTACTACTTTCAACTGCCATGATAGCAAAAACGTTAAAAGATATTTATTTTCTTATCTAAATATATTTCACATTTTTAAATAAATGGAAATGACAAGAATAGATTATGTAAGAATCATACTGTAAGAATTATACGACTTTATTTTCTGCATTTAATAAATTGTTTTTTTTAACATTTAAATTGTTGTTTTAACCAGGTAACATGTTATACTTCAGCTTGAATCACTGTAAAATTCACTGGAAATTTATTGACACTGTTACTTACGTGATAAAGTATTTATATTATCGGCACTTCCAAATTTGTTTTTAATAAGATGAGCAAACTCTCTTGGCTTAGACATTACAGTTCTGCAATAGAATATGATTAAACATAAATAAGCGTATAACGTTTTGCTTAACTGTACTTTTAAAAATAATTTCTTGTAAATAATTAAGAAAATATATCCTATTAATTTTAAATTGGAAGGATATTAATGGCAGTGATGAATCAACCACATAAGAATAGATTTTCAGCATATTTGAGCATGGGATCTATTTTTATATGAACACTCACCCTGAAAAACCAGTGATTCCATCCCTGATGTTTCCTCCCACATGTCTGGAATACAAGCCCAAATTAGCCAAAGATATTGCTTTCAACGCTTATCAAATAATATAATATATGTATATTTATATAGATTTTATTCAGTGATAAAATTTAAATATTTTTTTAAATAGAATTACAATTAAAAAAATCATTTATGTATAACTCACTTAAGTCCTTGTCCCATGTCGCGTAACATTTCCCTCGGTTGTCTATGACTCGTCGGTGCACCATTCATTTCATAATTTCTTAATTTTTTTGTGTAGCTGTCTAACTTTTTTTGTAACTGTGAAATACTGTGCGCCGATTTTTGATTCTTCTTTTCGAATACCGTCTTAATCCTAGTTAATTGCTGCTTGTCCGCATTAGCAGCCAATTTCAAATATTCATTGACGTTTTCTAAAGAGCAAATGACATATAACAACATTTTGTTTTTGTGTGTATTAATTAAATTTAAAAAGCTTTGTATTACCATCCCGCGTGGTTTGTTCTATTCTTATCTGTTCTCGCGTTTTAGCAATTTTGCTTTGAATATGTTCAATAGCTTGACGAACTCGTGCTGCACTAGAGTCGACATCATCGGTTATCAACTCAGAAGAACCATTTGATAGGAACGATTGGGTTGTGTGATATTGTTCCTATAAAATACAATAATATTTTTCATTCAAAGTTGTACAAAAAAACATAAAAACTATAACGTTAATCGTAACTATAGAACTAAAAACAATAAATAAATAAATAAATAAATAAATGACGTAATTTAAATAAAAAACAATTTATACTGTTATTTTTTGTAGAAAATTGTAAGAACTTTAAATTTATTTATCGGCTAAAAGTCTAAAAATAAACAAAACTAATATAACTAGTATATTTAAAATATACGCATAGAGTTATATTATTTTTAAATTCATAACTTTGACTACATATTAATGATTGATGACTTTGCAACCTATTATGTTAGTATACAATAGCAATATTATGTAACTCTTTTTATATAAGAGCACAAAGACGTGCTATAGATTGCATATACACATTAGATCTAGGTAAAGTAATAATCTTGCTGTTTTTGATGCAGAACACTTATTATCTTATACCTCATTAGACTCGAGGTATTTAAAATGAATCAGAAATACATACTCCTTCATCATCAGTCGGTGGATGAACATTTGGCACAAACTCGTCTGGTTCGGCAGTGTTTGAAGTACTACTTGGTTCATCCATGGCATCCCCCATGCGGATTAAATTTCCTGGTGACCTTTGTCTGTTGCTGCCTTTCATGTTGAGGCTACTTCCGGTACCGCCACCACCACTACTTCCACTGCCTGTGCTACCCTCTCCTTGAGAACTGAAACAAATATTAAAATGTTTATAAAATATACAAATGTTTATTTATTATTATAATTTTTCTAATTTTTTTACAGATTTAATCTGTTTAAAAATTAAATTAAATTAAACAAATTTTAAAATTTAGAATATTATAATTAGCATAGTAGTAAAAATAAGTTAACAGATAAGTAAATTATACATATATACATATGTAAATAGATTTTGTATGATTCATAGAAGAAATTGAATACTAAATGACATGCAATAATAGTAAATTGTACGTATGTCTATTATACTAATAGAATCTTACATTGGGGCATTACGCAATCTTGGAGTATGATCCAAGTTTGCTGTCGGTTGTTGCTGCAGTTGAGACGTCGAAGTTGTCCTACTAGGAGATCCACTGCGCGAACTGTTTTTACTAGAGGTGTTCACCATCAAGCTTGCCATACCTTTGTTCTAAGAAGGTTGTCATCTATCTACTTCGTTTCAATAAGTTCAGGTTGAACCTATATACATAAATTACAGATATAAAAATAGTGTAAGGTACAAAAGTAGTACAATATTGTATAATATTTTATAAAGTAACAATGATCATGTCATTACTGTTGCTATTATTAATCTATTTTTATTAGAATCAATCAATAAATTAATATTTGATCATTTTAAGCTGTAAAAAGCAAAAGATACCATTCTAATAATTAGTATCAAAAATTAATTAAAAATTTATATCATACGAGAGAGATTATCTTTTGATATTATTAGATAAATTTAATATCAAGGAGTGTAAACGATATCGGACTTATGATCATTTTTTATCTTGCTGTGATTCATAAATTCTTCCTTAAAATAAACCGCGGCAAAACAAGTAAGCTTAATTGCGAAAGCTTATATATCTCAATATGCATTCATTTATAATTTTATTCTAATATCGATATTTATGCATCATATATGTAAGGATAAAAAAAAACATAAAGTATAAAAAATTACAGAACAAACACTCCGCAACGGTTGAACCCCAATTGGTCTATCTTCGGCAGTAATTTTCTCCCTAAGAGGTTACATTATCTAATTTATACTTTAAATATACATTGAGCACAGAGACTGCATCTAAATTTAGAATGAAAGAGGATACTTCACATAAGGAGAAATATATTCACGTTTCAGTTGCAGAAAAATTATTTCTATTAATATATAAATAAATTCATTATAAATATTATTTGTACTTCGTTAAACCCAAAAATTCTATAGGTTTAAAACAATTTTTTAATTAAATTATATTAAGATAAAGCTTTTTACTTAATATAGATAAGTTGTATATTTATATTAAAAATTTTATAATTATAAACATAAAAATTATGTACCAAGAACTGTTTTTTTTATTCTCTGTCCATAGTCATAGTGGAAAGTGCTGTATAAGCACTACTTTTCTCTTAGTTCTACGTCGTATCACTGCCTTTAATTTGATCATATTAACTGATGAATCATTGCTATTATCATAACTACCAATGCTGATTTGTAAGAATGCCATATTAGTGAGGATCATAGTCCGAATAATAGTTCTTTTAAAATTCTATATCTACCTCATTCATGTTCCGGTTAACATTTAATTATTTAAGATATAAATACCAAATAGGAATACACTAAGTATGAAAAAGATTAGAGACTCTGTAACAGAGTCTGGCCACGAGATGATAAATTTCTGATTGGTCTGTTTTTGCAACTTCAGTAAGATATCAGAATGAATAAGATAAGTAAATATAAATTAGAATGAGATAGCATATATGAAGAGATAGTGTATATTCTCTTCTTTCTCTCTCTTGTTTTAATAAAATTGCTCGTCATAAGATTTCTAAAAAAGACAAAATCGAAGCCGAATATTCTTCCGCATTTAAAATATGCAAAAATCTGATTAGCAAACAAAATTAGAATGAGGAAGAGGAGAGAAACCAGTTTTTTAGAGCGATCATTAGTTTTGCCAATTCATGAATGACGAGGAACTTAGTTTGGCTAGCACATTGACATAAACATAGATTAAATCAAACTTGCCGATCACGTGGCTGGCGAAAGTCTCGGCGGTGATCTTTAGACGGCATCTGGGTGGCTGAGCACAAGTTCACAAAACGCCACACACATACGACGGTCCCGCGGTGGTGAGACGCAGGGCGAAGATAACACCGCGCTGTCACAGTCTGTCACGGACGGTCGTGCGTTGTCACTGCCACGTCCTCGGACTGCTCCAGGAGAAATGGAAGGTTCAGTCTCTGGACTT